ATACCATCTGTGAAAGAGGTTTTGAAAGTAAAGAGATCAGTGTGCTGTCAATGATGTGTTTGCACCATCTTCCATACCAAACAGCTGTCCCTGAAGGTTATTCTCTGCCAGAGTGATACTGGGACAAATACATACTTGGGGTTAACTTGGACTTCAGAAAAATGAATTTAGATCAGGGCTGCACATAGTTGCGGCCTAAAGTACTTTTATGGCCCCCATCAACATAGTACCTGAGTGTCTGACACAGTAGCGTAGCTGGGGGGGTGCGGGGCAGCGGCCACTCCCCCACTGAGCACAAGTGGCACCTTGTCAATATTCCTCTGTTGAGGGAACGGGGAGCGATCCAAAAAAAAAAAAGGGCGCCACCTGCTGTGGCGCTTTTACTCACCCGGTGGCGCTCCGGGTCTTCGGCGGCGGGACCGTCACTCGCTCCGGGTCTGTGGCGGCGGGACCGTCACTCGCTCCGGGTCTGTGGCGGCGGGACCGTCACTCGCTCCGGGTCTGTGGCGGCGGGACCGTCACTCGCTCCGGGTCTTCGGCGGCGGGACCTTCAGTGCCGCTGAAGACACCCGGTGTGAGTGAGGGAGCGCCGCCGGCTGAGTAAAAGCACCGCAGCGGGTGGCCCCTTTCTTTTGGATCGCCTCCCCTGTTCCCTCCACTTGGCTACACGGCTGACCTGACCATCTTTATCTTCACATCACCACTGGGAGGATTATCTCCATTTTACAGATAGAGAGCAGAGGTCTAAAGAGGCCAAGTGACTTGCCTGACGTCCTACAGGAACTCTGTGGGGAGCAAGGAATTGAACCCCTTGTCTCCCAAGTTCTAGGATAGTGCTCTAACCCCTGAATATCCTCACTTGCCTGAGCATCTTACGCAGCTCATGGATTGCAGTTCTGCTGGTGTTTGCTCGCTCCGTTAACACTTAATGCAGGGTAAAATAGAACATATTACAACAGTACCAAAAAGTTACTCTTGCTTCTGTTGACTCTGGTTACTTGAGTTAGGATGGATCACATGGGTCCTGTTGACATTGCTGCTCTATCTTGGGTAGTCTGTTGCCTCTAATCGGGTCCTTAACTAGGAGCACAGATGCAATTTACTTCATTCCGTCCAGTTTTGGTATGGCCCTTACCTTAATGTTCACATAGTCAATTTATATGACAGGGTAAGCCACTTTGCTCAAGTCAGGGCTAATAATATATTGGTTGTTCATTCAGCTATATGGTAACAGTAAGGAGACTGGCTAGCTCCAATGATATCTTGTTTTAGTTTTGTAGCTCTGTTTGCGTGAAGATATCCTGCATCACCTTGCTGTAATATCACAATTTATTATTCAATTGCATATCAGCCCCTTTGTGTACTAAATAGACTGGTTTGGCCGTTCAGAGTGCCAGCAAGGGAGTCACAGTGCGGTCTTTCTTTCAGCCTGCTCCAGCAGTTGGTATATGCAGTCTAGTGCAAGTGTATTTTTTGCTAAGCTCAACATGGAATGCCATATTATCTAATTGGGCCTGGGGGAAGCCTGAACTTTGGGATAAGCCTCTGTAGTCTCTATTTTTGAATTCTCTTCTCTGTCCTTTGATCATAAACCCTGGGTGTAGAATCATGTTTGAAGGCGGGTTTATGGGTATAAGCAGTCATTTTGCTGCAGATAAGCCTGGGGTTGTAGAGAGCATTTGCTTGTGGGCAGCTGTGAATTAATGGCTGTATTTTCTCCTCTGTGTGATTTGCTGATGAAGATCACATCCTTTTTCCCTAATTACTCATCAGAGCTCAAGTGGAGGAGTGTAGAAAAGGGCTCTTTGTACATGGCCCCCCTGAGAAACCTACTGCAGGGTCCAGACTCGAGGTTGGATTCACTCTCCCTGTCACGTTTCCCCCCTCAACCCTGCACATGACAGTCTCGCTAGTTCCAAACTGTTAGTTCCTGCTGGGTCCCATGCACAGCAAAGGGGGAAGGCAACCAGTGGTCCCGAACAAGGGTGCCTGCTGCAAGGATCAGACCCATTGGCAGAACAGGCTGTGGGAGGTAGCTCCACCAGCAAGGACCGAATGGCAGCCTTAGACCATGAATCTCAGCGTATCCCCTAGCTCCAGAGAATGGAGTCACTGTCCAGTCTTGGGAGAAGTTTCTTCTCATACCAAGGAGCGTTGACCCTCCTTTCCCACCTAAGGGAGAATCTAGCCCCAAATACATTTTATTGTTATAAAGAATACACTACAGCTTTTCTTGGGTAAATCTGCCTAGCTCCCTACAATACCACAGCCTAGTTTTCAGCCTCTTGAAGCTAGCTGGGGTCATCATGATGAATGTTGATTAGCTGCGAGCTTACTGCAACTGACCATTTGCTCTGAAGAACAGAAGTAACAGATTTCTCTCCTTTATGTTGCAGTGTTTATGGATCATTCTCTGGCCTTGGTCTGATGGGAATAAAGGAAGAAAGCAGGAACAGTGCCTGTTAGACTGCCAGGTTTTACAAACGTCTTTTAAGGCTTTTTTAAATTAATTCTGTCCCCCAAGAACAATAGGCTCTGCCCATGTACTTTTTTAACATTTAAAAATAAAAATTCAAAATGGTTAGTGCAGCAAACCTTTCTTCTATTAATGCTTCTATCTTTGGTACTTTTGGCTGGCTGGGAGCCAGCTTAGTGAGCTCTGTGTGCACAGATACTGCCAAGGCAAACGTGGTAAGCCACAGTGGTCAATTTTTCTAGAAGCTGAATGGCCCCTATCTAGAGGTGGCTTAAGTCTGTAAAGGGCTTGTAAGGATACTTGTCAGCTGGGCTGTTTCCACTTAACTTGGCCTCTTCTTGACAGACACACTGTGCAAAATTAATGTACATCTGTCCCCCAAAAAGCTTCTTTGTGGTTGTAGAAGCTCTACATTGGTGTTGTGGAGCCTTCTGGAAATTGGGCCTCAATTAACATTTCATGTTAAGTCTATTATAGATGGTGTGTTATGCTTTTCAGTGTCAATGAAGTAGCTGTGTACTGCATAGAAAAGTACTTTACTTTGCCCTTGGGAAGATAAAAGTATGATTCACATCTTGGGCTATTTCCACTTTTTTCCTCCTAAGAGGAAAAATTACAACTCAGGCTGCAGCAGGAGCAAAGAAAAAGTACTTAACGGGTGAAATTCACATAGGCATAATGATGAGGTTAAACTGGGCAAAAGATAGGAAACCAGGACCCCACACCTACATAAAGTGGTAAAGAGCAGCAGACTTCCCTAGGCAGGAGGAACAGCATTGTAACCTTTTGGTTAGGCCCAGCTTTGGAGGAAGTTTCATATCTGAGAGCAGAGGATGTTGGTCTGTCTTTAGCAGGATACAAATAATTTCCCCGCCCCATCACGGCTTGCTTTATGTCCTCACAGGTTAACTAGTTGCTGCTAACTGTTAGTAAATCAGGACCCCCAAAAAACTAAACAAGATCTCATTTGACAGTAATGCTCCAGTAGAAAGAGGAACATTTTTTCCAGTCAGAGAAAGCAGTTAAGTGTGCATGGTTTGGAGAAAGTGACTTTAGAAAGAGTTCAGTCTGATTAATTCTCCTCTCTCACAGTCCCAAGAAGAGGCATTCAGTTGTAAAGCCATGATTAAGGACAGGCCAAAATAATCAATGGAGCTAGCAGAACACCCCCCACCACATCCCACTCACCATTTTTCCACAGGGACAAAGGAATTCAAGTTACTCATCAGGTGAGTTACACTCTACCCTGATACATCCAAGGAAGTGCCAACAAAAACAATTAATAGAGCCATTGTCTGTGCTAAGAGGAAAGAAAAAGCAAGATTCCCACTGTCCATTAAGCAGTTCAGTCCCCTTCTGTACCTCCTGAATTGGCAGTGCTTTGACTGGTGGAACTCTCCTCTGTGGTCAGCTGAAAGCATTAATACCATAGAACTATCAGTGAAGATACCTGGGATGCCAGACGTACAGACAGGATTTGTTGAAAGAAGGAAAGAAAGAGCAGGGGCCTAAAGGGGAAGCAATACTGAATGTGACAAAGGTGCCAAATAAACAGCAACAAGTTTAATTACGACAAGGACTCTACTGTTGGCAGTCTCTATGCAAAGCTCTCACTAACATCAGCGGGAGATCTGCTGTGGATTGAAGAAACTATGAACTCCTGAAGTATATCCCTAAGGACATTATTGAACATGGAATGCCCTCCCCTCCAGATGAGTTGGAGCCCCAGGCTGCCAACACTACACATCTAGATGAACACACAGAGCCAAACCAGGGCAGCGGCAGCATGAGAATCAGATGGCTGAAACTGGCTCCCTGCCTGGGATCCCATCCCCCACTCCAAGCAGACCTTGGCCCAACTTCTCTGCTGCATCATATTTTAATATAGGAAGGGAAGAAGATGCCAGGTGACCAATCTATGACAGACTGATCTGGCTCCCACTGAGATCAATAGCAAGATTCTGACTCCAATGGGAGCTGGACTGAACTGTTTGGAAATAGAGGCCCCACTGATAGCTGGCTGTACCCAGCCATGCTTTGGTGTATGTTGACACTGCAGCTAGGATAGCACTTCCTAGCACAGGTAGACCTATACACGTTAGCTCTCCTCCAGCTAGTGCACTAAAAATAGTGCGGCCACAGTGACATGAGCAGCAGCTCAGACTAGCTGCCCGAGTACCAATTGGCCCAAACCATTGGGTACATACTCCGGCAGCTAGCCTGAGCCACTGTCTGTCCCACTGTGGCCACAATGCAGTTTTAGCTCTGCTCGAGCTAGCATGCTAATGCACGGTCTTTCTACTTGCGCTGGAAAGTGCCCTCCCAGCTGCAGTGTGGACATAGCCTTTGATTCCTGCACTGCAAAGTAAAAGGCTCGTTTCTCCATCATGCAATTAAATGGAGCAGTCACTTCATTGCAAATAGTGAAGACAGTATTTAGTTGGTAAACATCCAGAATCCTGTCAGAAAAGTTATGGAGATGACAAATAATGCTGGCAACAATTCTATTTGTAATCATTAAAAAAAATATTAAAGTTTCCCCTTTTAATTGAAAATTTATGTAAAAAGGACTTCGGCTTTAAATAAGACATTTGTACAAAGCTTGAACACAAAACAGTGAACACCAGCCAAAAGGTGCATTATGTAAACACCAAAATGTTCATTTGTTCAGTAATGCACAGAACAATGCTGTAAATTCCCTTTCCAGTGGATTGAATTTCTGTAGCTATTTCCCCCCCACACACAAATCTTACTGGAATACAGGAAATCCAGAAGCTTTGAAACATTTACAGAGCTACAGTAGTCAAAATACATTGTGACTAAAGGATTTTTTTAAAGGGATAATTTAAATACAGAAATATTTTTACAGTCTCACAGGTAAATGAACGGCAGATCAGATTAGAAAAAAGCACCAAAATATTTAATATACATCTGGCACAAGGTCTACAAGAAGTTGGTAATGGACAAACCAATACCTTGCTTTTTAGAGAAAGGAAAAACCAGACTGCATTTAATGCTCTTATTTAATAAGGGACACAGTCAGCTTAAAAACAAAAACAAATCACACCCAAGACTACTATAACCAAATAGAATCTCTTAGTTTGTTTGCTTTGTGCATTTGACAGCACTTTGTAGAGCACTTTCACTGTTTCCACTCTGTGGGACGTTCACACAGTAACAACTGGTGAGAAAAAGTGTAACTGTAAAACCACAAATATCGGCAAGGGGACTCAAAGCAGCAGGTATAGTACCTAGAACGAATGTTATAAAAAGTTTCAAATTGGCTCTATCCCTTAAAAAATAAAAAAAGGAACAGCATGAAACAGGATGCACCCCAACCAATTTCAAGCATGGCACATCTGATACATATATAAGAGAAAGCATGGCCCTGTAGACACGACATATTAGTATTTTCGAACACTGAGAAGACTATTGGATGGGGCATTGGGTATCTTTTAGGTAAATCCAAAGGCAATAACATGAATCGTATGACTATTCCCATCTGTGTAACTATGGTGGAGTGTTCTCCTCTGACAAGGTTTTTATCTCTCCCTGCTGGTTTTAAGCAGGAATGCCTCTTAAAGGGAATCAAGTGCACTGACTTGTTACATAGATACTGGAGAACAAATATTAAGCCAATTGTGTTCACATATGATTGAGTGAAAGCCAAATGAAGTTGTCCAAAGCTGAACAGATCTAGGTTATTTCTCTGGGGGTATATAAACGATATAAACATGATTCCTCCTGTCACAGGCAAATTTAGCTGGGCTCAGATCCATCCAAATATTAAATGTTAAAAGAACAAACCTTGCTCTCTACAAACTATTTTACTCAGCAGTCCACTTCCAGACAATATTCCTTGACCTTGCCCTCACACACACTGACTCACTGCTGCTACAGCCCCTCACACGAGCCATCATGGATCCCAAATATCCAGCTTTAGGCATCAGTCCTGCAAGCTCAAGCAGCAATTTCTCCAGGAACTGAAGATGCTCAGCAACAAACAGGATTAGGTCCTTAATCTGCTCCTGCCTCCCTTTTTCCCTTTCATTCACCATCTGATAGATAAAATATCCTTTAAAGAGCAAACACTTTTCAGATCACTGTTTACAGGTACTCTAGAAATTGTAGCCTTAAAATATTAAGCACTATGCTGTAAAGTCCTCTACTGCTAGTACTGTATTCCCATAAGTGTAACAGCAGCCAGCCTTGAGCTCTGCTGGAATTTCATGCAGATCTGTCATTTCTGTCATGCAGGACTTGTTCTGTTTAGTAAACCAGGGAGAGCAAAACAAGTTTCAGTGCTGGTTCTGCATAAATGGCAATATTCAAGTAAATATGTATTCCACAGCAGGTAACTTTCAGCTCCAAAAATATAATTTAAGGAAAAATAAAGTTCTAGCATGAACAAAGACAAAATGCTTTTCTGCCTGTGTATAGAGCTATCTGCAAATATCCAGAGGGAGCTTATTTGAAGAGTGCAACTATGCAAAGGTAAGAGCTTAAAAATTGTACAAAAAACAGTTATACTTACATAAAACTGAAGACAGAAAGGTTGATTACTATACTAGAGAGGAATTCCATAGATCATTTAAGGCAAGCTGTTTGCAGAACTAGTCTGTTCAAGCCTGTTGCTTCACAAATTCCCAATTTTTTATTTTATTTTGCTTCTTCACAGATAGTGCAAGAGGTCAAATGAATTACATACTCACTAGGGGGAAACCCACAACAGCTCTGAGTTTGGAAGAATGGTCTTATAGCTGCACTAGCTGCTGTGTAACGTTTACATCAGGCTTACCCAGACAGCAATTCTGCTGTACATTTTGAATGGGAGGGAATAAATTGTGGCTCATGAAGACAACATCCAAACGGATTAAAACAAAGCAAGAGTTAAACTGGCATGCCACCATCTCTAACAATTTAAGAACTTCTTAGCTTTTCTTTGAACATAAAATTACATGTTGATCTTGAGAGGCAGGAGAATGGACACAGCTATTGAAGCTGAATTGGTCCAAACAAATGGAAGGTGCAAAACTGATTAAAATGCTAGTTACAGCAGGGATGGGCAAACTTCTTGGCCTGACAGCCACATTTGCGTATGGAAATTGTATAGCGGGCCATGAATGCTCACAAAATTGGGAGTTGGGGTGCGGGCTCTGGGATGGGGCCAGAAATGAATTCAGGGTGCAGAAGGGGGCTCTGGACTGGGGGTACGGGCTCAGGGGTGGGGTCAAGGGGTTCAGAGGCCAGGAGGGATCAGGGCTGGGGCAAGGGGTCGGGTACAGGCTCCAGGTGGCACTTACCTCAAGCAGTTCCCGGAAGCAGTAGCATGTTCCCCACACTGGCTCCTACGCAGAGGCGCCTCAGTGTGCTGCCCTGTCCTCAGGTGCTGCCCCGTCCTCAGATGCTACCCCTGCAGCTCCTGTTGGCCATGGTTCCAGGCCAAAGGGAGCTGTGGTGGCAGTGCTTGGGGCTGGGGCAGCATGCGAAGCCCCCTGGCTGCCTCTACCCGTAGGAGACGGGGGGTGGGTGGGTGGGGAGACATGCTGCTGCTTCCAAGAGCCATAGCATACGCAGAGCAGGGCAAGCCCCAGATCCTGCTCCCCGGCGGGAGCTTGAGGGCCGGATTAAAATGTCTGAAGGGCTGGATGTGGCCTCCAGGCCATAGTTTGCCCACCCGAGTTACAGCCTAACATGGAAGGAGGGCAATGAAATATACAAACATTTCTCATGGTACTGCATTGGGTGGGTTGTTAACACATTCTAAGAAACAAATTGAATAGGCCACCCTGTTCGCTCTTAAGGAACGGCTTTTTGATCTCCCAGGGAAGGCCTGTTTGTTACTGATATACTCTAGCCCAAATGGGAGCGGAGGGGAACCCCAACTCCACAAGCATGACTTTGATCACTGCATTGCAGTGCACTGTATTTCTCCAACATTGTAGAATAGCTAACATCCTGAATGACCTAAACTCATTCAGCAGTTTGACATGGTTCTGGGCTTTTTAGATACATGGGAATGGTCCCTTATAAGATTCAATGAAGCAGCATGCACATTACTAGCAGTACTTTGAAGACTGCAGTGAACTTAAGGAGACAGAGAATACCTAACGTCAATATAATGAAGTAGATTAGTTATCCGGATATAAAATCTTGGAAGGAAAGAATGGTGACACTTAACCACTCAGTAAATCTAAGAACAGATCAACAACCAGGTATTACATGGTGAATGAATTAAAGCCTTCTGTCTTACAGTCTGATGTATTTTATTGCGGTTATAGAGTGAAATTTGAATCTCTGGATTCATATTGTCAATAGTTTGGAGAGAGAAAGATTATTACATACATGCATGTGTGCGCGCCTGACTACAACAAAATTAAGCAGACACCTAACTTTAAACATATACAGCAATTTAGAGTACATATTCTTCAGTGTGTGTGTGTTTGGTCTTTTAATGAAATACTAAACTGAAGAATTTTTTTTAAAGACACTTTAGGTAGTGTCTGAGATTCATTTTTAAACATGAAGGGCTAAATTCTGCCCTCAGACATGCACACCTTTCCATGAAATTCAGCCCAGGAGTAGAGTCTGGTACCCAATTAATTAAGGCTGTCTGTGACATCATACTGTAGAACACAAAGCTGCAAGACCTGGAAACTTACAAGGCTATGCCATGAATGAGAAGGATATAATTTCAGCTGCCATGATATCAGAGCTGAAGTGACTTTAATCACCAGAGACTAGAGATGGAGTTTCCTTGTTCAACACAGTTTCATAAATTGTTTATAAACTAAGAGGTTAGTTTTATTTACATTATATAAATATAATGAAAGGGATATTCATATTGAGACCGTCTCATGTCAATACCAAGAACTATTCTCTTGGGTTATAACCATTTCCTAGAACGTGTGATAAGCTGAGTTATTGTTTCTAGTTTTATTTTCCTGTGGTTTGTATAGTAGAATTGCACTAATATTAATCCATTTAGAATACCACCTGCAGCAAATGGATTCACATATTCAACATCTAGTCTCATTTAATGTATTCTCAGTCACGCTCATGACCATCACCAAATGTGCATGATCCTGCAAAGGATCCTTTACTTGCGAAACTAGTCCTATTTGACCTCAATGGCATTACTCACATGAATAAGGAGTTTGCAGGATGGAGTGTCAATTAATTTGGGATACTAAATTTTAAATGTGTTCTGAGCCACAATACTATGTAGCTGTCTGAAACTCAGTGTTTTTACATGAGTCACATTCTTTAGGTGTAGAAAGGAAGGCAATAAAATGACACGAAGCTTGGCTATCAGACCATTTTCCCAGTTGATGACAAAGTTGCAATGCGTATCTCTGCAGCTACTTACCCCAAGATATAGCAGTTTCACAACATCATCAAGTTGTAGCTATACTTTTTTAAAGATCAGCAACACAAAGAAATCCTAATGGTTTCAAGAATCTCATCAGCATCATGCCCATTTATAACCCTTAATCTACACTTTAAAGATTTTATATATATTTATGAAAAATATGAATATATTTGGTCTATTCCGTGGAAGTTCACAGTTCAACCATTAAATAAGGACACTCTCAGAGGCTCCAGGATTAATAAAGGTTTCCCAGAAACATGTACAAAACTCCAATCCAATATAGTGAGCATTAAAAAGCAAGCTATATTTGATGTTTAGGATCATCAAAATGTCAGGCAATCCAGAACAAGTACTGTCACTCACATTGTTGTGTAAAGTTGCACAACTCAAGCAAAGAACAGATTGTTAGACTTTGTAGTCCTGGGTTTGTATCAGTTTTAAAATCCCAACCTTGACTTTTTGTATTTTCTCTTTTGTAATCCAAAAGTGAAATTTAGTATAGAACAAAAATAAATGGCTTTTTTTCAAGATAGATTTGGCTAGCATTATAAGTGTTTGGTATCCAATAGGCTGGAATGATTCCTGGTAGAGTAAATAACTATAGAACAGGGCTTTCCTTTTGTTACAACAGCATGGCACCAAGCCACCCAGGTTTGCATTTTTTTTCAACCGGAATTTCCCCTCTTTCACACAACTACCGTCACCATCCTGCCTTGGCAAACCACCCTGAATTACACCTAATGGCTAACCCTGGGTGTGCTGTAGAATTTTCCTCTGTACCCCAATCCATATTTAGATCAGACCTTAAAAACCACTCTTCAGTTTCTAGGCCATAATCCTTTGAAGCCATTACAGTCTATTAAGTAATGACTGTCACAATTCAGTACTTACGTGCATGCAATAAGTATACAATGAGCAACCAATTTTCAAACTTTGGACATTTTAAGTTCTTTTTAAGAGGAAGTAAAGTGATTTAACCAAAAAAAAACACAACAAAAAAAAAAAACCAAGATACTAGATCATTAACATAATACATGTGTAGCCTTAAAGTTATAAATAAAGGGTTTTTCCATTTATGCTCAGGCCAGTCTACACTTAAAGGTTTTGCTGGCATAGAAATGTTGGTTTGAGGTGCGATTTCTCACATCACCACCCTCAACCATAGCTGTGTCACCAAAGGGCCAAATATAGATACAGCTTTACTGTCAAAAAAGTACTCTTGCTTAATTTGCTTACCAAACCAGAATGCTTATACCAGCAAAAGCACCTGTTTACTGGTATAAATGTCTACACTAAGACGATTTTGCCAGTATACAGACAAAATGTACACAAAGCTTCAGCATATATTTAATTACCAGGAACCAAGTCCTAAATTTTGTGTTTCTCCTGCAAGTTGACAACCTCTGTTATACTTGAAATGGGAGCAACATTAGTTTTCCATAATTTTTACACATCCCTAATGCACTCAGCACTTGCTAAAGAAATAGAACATTGACCTCTCATCATGGTGAGAAGATGTAATTTGAGCATATCTTCTTAAACAGATATGTACTTTAGTTTAATTACACAAGCACTGTTAATGATGCAGGATCTCAAAACAGATCTTGCCACTGGATTTGCTAGCATGCAGTAACCATTGTGAGAGTCCGCAGGGGCTCTTCCTGGGCACTGGGATGCATGGTAGCAATTTACAATTTGTTTTAAAGAGCCCTACAGCACAAAAACCATTGGACAATATGAACTAATTGCTCAGCAGTTCCTTTTTTTTTTTTTTAATTTAAGCCATTTTATGATCCTGAATTACAACTCTGAAAATAAAGTTGTATAATAGAAATGTATCAAATATATGGAGCCAATGCTTCGCTTAATAGAAAGCCTCAGCAGTTATCCCTTTTACCAAGAAGTATAAAAAAGCTGATATATTAAAATTAAAAAAGGTAGCATCAATAACCAAAAAAATGTCAACCAGTGTTAATAAAACTCCCTTTTTAGGTCACAACAGGCAAATAATCCCAGTACAGGTAATTTAAAACAATAAATTGAGTCCTATTTAAACATTATTAAATCAGACTAAAAATGAATTGTCTACAGTGTTGTCATTAAGAACACATTAAAGAACTCACTTTTTCATTGAGTGCCAATGTTGTTGTTGCCCCAGAAAATTTGGAGGGGTGTAACTATGCTTTAACAATTAAGTATAGATTAAAAAATTGGTTTGTCAACATGAATACAAGAGATCATCCCTACACAGATATACTGCACTTGCCAGACAAGTAAGTTGATCATACTTAAGATACAGATCAAGTGTAAATTAAAGCAGATTTAACATACCACAGTTTTCCTTGAAAGCAGCTTTTGCGCTTCTGTTAATGTTTATCAGCCATAAGAAGCAGAACCTTTGGCTCCAAAGTATTTTCACATAACCATAAAAATATGAATGACTCTTCAGCAGAAAGGAAGTCTCCTTCCAGTAAAACTGAGGTAGCACTGCTCTTTTGCATGTGATGCTTAAGTAATTTAGATACAAAGTGTTAACTACAATTCAGTTGACTGACAGGTACAGTATGTTTTCATAAATAAAATCCAACATTTAGTTCAATACTCCAAAAATAGAATGACCTGAACTCATGTTTTCTGAGAGTTAGCTTAAAATGGGTTTTAGCCATATTACAAAAAGCAGTCACTTACGTTGTTTTTAGAGCCTTATCTGGGAATTAATGCATTTGTAGCTAGCAGTTAACACTGCTATTCATGTTGGTATAAAACCTTAAAATTAATATAACCTAAAATTTAAACAGTGTAAACAGCACTACACACAGTACAGACCTGCCCTGATAGATGTAGTATACAAAACTTGAATCTGGCACTGTATAATTTAGCAATGTTAATTTAAACCTAACAAAAAGATCTACATTGTGCAAGAAATGTCAGATTTATACTAATCTGAAATCTTTTTTAAAAAAAGACAACTGTTTTTAACTTGTAGCCAGGGTCAAATATTTCAGGGCAAGGTATAACCAAAATTAAGAAAGTGCCTAAACCATGATACAGCATTTTAGAGCCCTTTCAAATACAAGGCAGAGAAAGGTGTAAAGTAGAAAAATCTGGAGCCTCAGTAATTTCCAGAAAGGTCCAGAGTTTACATTTAATGAAGGGCAACAGGTTCTTTCTGTCACTGCTGCTTAAATGCTGTTAAGTCTGTTCTTCTATACACGGACCCTCTGTGTCTGAACATGTAATACATTTGGTTTCCTCTTCTTTTTTCCTTCGTTCCATTTCCCATTCCACAAAGGTATCAAAGAGACTAGGCCAGGCCTCATCTTCACTGTAGTTGCTAAGGTCTGGTCCAATCACCTGAGTAAAATTTAGAAACATGTTCCATGTGTCCCGGGAGATTCCCTTGATTCCTGAGGGGTTCTCAATTAGGAAGTTTAACCACTGGTCCAATATAGGGGGGTTATTTTGGGTGAAGACTAACTTCCAAAGGGCAATGGCTATTTCCCGATGTAAAGACCTCTGTCCTTCTTCAGAGTCCAGGCCAAATTGAAAGGTGAAACGATACAGATCCTTGAATTTATCTTCTTGTTTGGCTTCATTTAAGAGGCTGGGGAACCTAGAACAAATGCCATCAATGCTGTCCGCATTTATTGCTTTGCAGCCCTCAAAGAACTCCTTCCTATTAGCAAAAGAAAAACCATCTGTTAGTACCTTCACACACAGACTATAAAACCCTATCTGAGTATAGCTAGTTAAAGCCAAAAATTTACCTCCTTTGATAAGACTAGTAAGGCTAGGTACTGCCAAATTCAGCACACACCCACCTTTCATCTGAAGTATTTACATGTCAGCAGTGAGAGCTGCGAAGCAGCCTGTTCAGGATGAAATTTGCATTTTAAAAGTTTGTAATTACTTTTGAATCCAAGTTTGCAGCACTGGTAAATTACACCACTGGGGTGCCATGAACATTTGAAAGGGATTATTTTGTGTGGCCTTCACTACTCCCTGAACGGGCAATGCTTCACCTTCCTCTGATCTTTACCTCTACGGGAATTTAACACTGGAGAAATGCCAGATTGGCAGGTGCGAAGGTTCAGTCTGTTTTTTCCACCAAAGCATAGTACAGGCAACATCAATGCAAGCCACCCTGGGTGCCTGTCCTAAATAATGCTTTGCAGACATCACGGTCAAGGAGCAACTTCAAATGTAGTGATCCTTCAGTCTGCGGTCCCTCTGCCAAGACTGTGAAACGAGAGTTCTGGTTGTGAGAGTCAGTGATCAGGCACCTGCTCACAGGGCACTGAACAGAGACCACCAGCTCAATTTACACAGGCTACTGAACAGTTATATACAAATGGTTTTTAGTTCCTACAATCTAGGGCCATTTTTAACCGGACAATCTGCAGTTCGAAGGATCTGTTCTGCTCCTAGCTCCGTGACCCATCCAGTCCGTAGGGTCAGCTTTCACACGATAAGGAGCGGATCGTGGACTTACAATCCACCCAGTGCAAGCCAGGCTGCCTGAGACCTACTGCTGCATATGGTAGCTATTCTACTGGTGAAAGGATATCACTCAGGGAGTCTGCAGCAGGAAGAGCGTTATATTGGTGCTGAATGGAGCCAGCCTAATAGTCAGTTGCGCAGTGCCATGCATAAGACTTGATATACCAACTCCTTTACTTCCCAGCGGCCATGGCTAGTAGTCATGAGGGAATTGCACAGACACAGCAAAGTTACTGGGCACTGGAAGTTCCTAGGACAAAGTGCAATAATCCTGGGATTATTTGTTGGTAGTGTAGTACTGGAAAGCCCAACCTCCAGCATCTAATGTGAGGCGACCCATTAGTGTGCTATGCAAACAGTTTAAATCTTTTGAAATTATGACCACTAACTATTTCATTAAAGCGACTACATATCTAAATATTCGGAAGAGAGGATCTGTCTTCTCTGACTGGGCATTGAAAAACCTCAGGATTTTGGTTGGTTGGGTTTTTAAGTATACTTGTGGGGAAATTCTGCACCCACTGCGTGGGCACAGAATTCATATCATCTGCAGATTTCTTTGCTTCCCCACAAAAAAATGACTTTTTTTGATGGGGAAGCAAATGGAAGCCGCAAGAATGGTCTTGTGGCCCTCCCCAGCAGCACCAGTCTGTGGTTTTGGGCACCCAGAGCAGCAGGCACAGAGGTAAATCACAGGGCGGAGGGAGCTGGGGATGCCTTAGCCTGCGCCGGTCAGACCCACCCCCCATCTGCCCAACCCCCATGCATCCAGACCCCTCATACCCAGACCCCCACACTGAGCCTCACCCCCCCTCACTCCCAGAATCCCCCCACCCCCTGCACCCAAACTGCCCCTGACAAGCTTCCAGCTTGTGGCTCCTACCCTGCACCAGGCTCACCTGTTGCTCCCAGCTGGGCTGAGGGTTAGGGGGAGGAGTGAACTTCCCCTGCACAGAGTGGCCAAGGCCCTGGGGCTGGGTCAGACCCACCCCCAGAAACCTTCCCCGGCTCCACACCCTGCCCCACTTCCTGCCCCCATTGCTCCTTGGCCGTGGGGGGAGAGGTCGCCCCTCAGCCCAACCCCATGCATCTGGACTCCTCCTCACCCAGACCTCCCTGCTGAACTCCCCCAATCCTGCATCCAGAACCCCTGCAAACTCCCATCCCACCAAGCCCCTACCTATGGACCCCTGCTGAGCCCCTCCCTCCTACATCTGTACCCCCACTCCTGCACTAAGACCACCACCCACAGAGCCACCCCGCACTCGAACCCTCCCCATGCATCTTGACCACCCCACTGAGCCCCCCACACCTGGATCCCCACCCTACCAAGCCCCAACCAGCTGCATCTGGACCCCCACCCCACCAAACCCCATTCTCCCAGCGCCCAGACTCCCCATCTGACACCCAACCACTTTCACCTGGACCCTTCTGCAAAGTCTCTCCCACCCCATGAGCTCCTGTGCATCCAGATCCCCCCCCCACACAGAACCCTCTCACACCACACCTGCCCCCCCCACACTAAGCCCCTCCACACTTGGATCCTGCTGAGCTGAGCCTGCCTGCCCACACCTGGTGCAGAGGGGCAGGGCCCCAGGGTGTTTCTGGGACAAGCCCAGCCCTTGCACTGTGTCAGGTTCGCGTGCAACCTCACTGCCAAGTCTGTGTCTGGAGGTGGGGGAGGAGACTGCAGGGTGATCTCCCACCTCTGTGCAACCAGCCTCCACACTTTATTGACAAATAACATTTGCAGAATTTTAAAATATTGTGCACAGAATTTTTTTTTGGGTGCAGAATTCCCTCAGGAGTATAAGTATTGCCCCAGTATCCTTGAAGGAAGTTTCCCTTCTCCCCAATACTGTGAAATGTGCTAAAAGGCAACTGGTTGCCACTCTCCACCTCAGAGAAAGCTACATTTCAGTGGTGCTGTAAATATATAGTGTTTAAAAGCATTGCTGCTGACCAGCACGAAAGACACTATATAAAAATATAAAAACAAGGAAAAACGGTTTGGTCTCTAGCTCCTAGCATGCACAAATGCCACGTACAACACTGGCAGTCTGGGAACCTTGTACAGGAGATTAATTTACTTAGCATGCTGTTTTATCGGAACGGTAATAGCAAGTAAGTGCAGTGGATTACACAGATGTTAGTAGCTAACTTTACATTACATTTCTCTTATCTGCATTAAAGTAGAGATCAGTTTCAGCAGTATCTAACATTACTATCAAGTTGGTACTCAAGAGGATAAGACTGATTGTGATATGTCAGCGTTATACTGAAGTTCGGAGATTTCTAATGCACTTTTCACCATAGGCAGTAAAATTTCTGAAGTGTGCCTTCAAGCACAGAAGACTGACGTGTTGCAGAAAATGAATGGCATTTCCTTTCATAACTAATTTTTTGTTTGCTTAAGTTCAATCAAATTACATATTTAAAAGGAATGAGCATTCAAAGTTAACAGGGCTTCTCACCAGTATATAGAAGATATTTTATATGTTCAAATATATTCTATTTACAAGTGCTGTAGGAACTAACCTTGTAAATTTGCACATGGTAGCTGCCTGGAATTTCCAGGCCAAGACTAGCACTTTAAATTCAGTGGGGTCAACACAGAGGTCATTGCAAAAACGTTCCATGCCTTCTTCCAGTATGGCATCTTCCCGTTCGTCCTTGTATCTCCTAAACAATTCCCCAATCCTTTGGGCTGAAGATTCTTCTGTGCCGGAAACAGGCTCTTTCTTTGCATCCCCAGAGAAAGTTGAAGGTTGACTAGAGTCTAAAGCAGTATCCGTTTTCTTTGTCCCATTGACAAGTATGTCGCCAGAGGATTTCACACATACTGAGGTATGTTCTTCTTTGTGAACTGCACTTCTTTTGCCATGAGACTTGCTGCTAGATTCTCTATCTCCATTTTTGCTGCCAAGGGTGGAAGAAGGATTCTTGCACTTAGTGACACACTGGCCCATGTTGTTGCAAGCCCAGCTTTTAGAGCAGTCCCCTTCTGATCAGACGCCCTCTCAGCTGCTGTTCAATGAACTTCAACATGCCATCAGTGGGAGTCGACTAACCTGGAAATAAGGTTTAAAATCAAATCACTGTTTTCCCACAGAGACCATATTAAGTAGTTAAGTAACATTCACAGAAGAATAAACAAGAGACTAACTTCAGGAGTTTAAGCTTTGCTTACTGAAGAGGAATAATGTACAGAAAGCTAGTGTATGCCATAAATACAGGCAATTTCAACTAAGGTCTGTTGCTTTACCTAGAAATCAATGCAGCTCACTCAGCAGCTGCAGTACACTAACGCGTCCTAATAAAGGAAATTCCTAAAATTCTTACTGTAACATAGGTTACAAAGAGGTTGATTCATGTGCAGAATTCATCAAGACAGACTACTCCAACCGAGAAATATTTTAGAGGAAATCATTTAAAAAACCATGATACACTTAACATACAGAATACAAGACTGTGAAACAAAGCAACATCAGCCAAGGACACTATGTTCTGTCGGAAGCCCCAGCATTAACTTTGGCTTTTTGTTGGCTTTGGTCAGTTTCTGACCAACATTCAAAATCTAGTTTTTTGTTTCCATGTATGTTTGCATGTATGCATGTTTACAGAGGGGGAAGGTGGTTAAAACGGGAGATGCATCTTTCCTGGAAGATTATAATATGTATTTAATAGAGGAGCTATTCATGGTTTCAAGTACCTATCCCAGTCCCTTGGGAGAGAAGGAGTGTGAGGGACTGTGGGGGGATTTTCCAAGAAAGTTTCACACACATACTAAGGAGTTAATACTCCCAATTTCAGTTTATAAATTTAAACCAAACACCATAATTTCTTTTGTAGCCACTTCATTCTAATCAAATTATGAAAGTTACAACTTTTTTACAGAGCATATTTTACCAATGCAAAAAGATTCAGATTAAAACTAAAAGAAATCCTTTGACAACTATCATGCCAAAGGGCAGCAGTTTTAGGGCTTAAACATTTTAGAAAATCAGAGTAACTCAAAGTACAGAATTGTATATCTTATTTCTGCTCCTCCAGTCACAACTATTGGCTTGTATCTTGCCTCTGCCAATTAAGCAACAGCCTCCAATGAGAAACTGGACTTTTAGTGCCTTTTCATTACAGCTTCCCTGTTACTTTACTTCCACAACCCGGAACCAGTGAGAGATGAAAAAAGGAAGAGTAAGTAACCATTGTAAAATACAAAAAAGGCAAATAGAGAAGAATGTGTTATTCCTTCCTGTTCCTTGTCTGTTCAGGTTGTAAGTGCTTCAGGACTTGGACCTGTAATTGTAAGGCAATTGCCAGTTACCACTACCAGAAGTGGTACCAAGGGCAAATGATTGCTTCAGAAACGAAGGGTATGTTTACACTGCAATCAGAGGTGTGGCTGCAGCACATTAGTTATACTGGAGCTAGCTTTAGTCTAGCTATCACAGGTACCAATAGCAGTGACGCACAAACTGCAGTGTTTGCTGGCCGCCCAAATACGTACCCAGCGTAGCAGGCAGGCTTGCACAGCCAGTACCGAAGCCTGTGCTGCTGGGGCTAAGCCACAACAATTTAATCAATATATTTTCTCTCATCCCACATGCAATAAACTCATATATGTTTATCTTGCTTTGACCATTTGTTCAGACGGTGGTAGGGAAGGCGGTTAGTTTCACAGTTCACATGATATACTGCAACTCAGCCATTATGGCTCTGGTTTTCCCCCTCGGAAAAAAACAAATTTTTTTCCCCTCATTATCCCATTCAGTTTGTTAGAATCTAGAGATGGAAGAGACTTCTTAGATACTGGACATGAGAAGGAGCAGGCATCCTGTGGTTTCCAACATTCCAAATCCTTAACATCTTTTAGGTAATCTGCATCGTTTGACATACCATTTGTATATGGGGGCAAGTATCCATTTAACGTTTGTCAAGACCAGCTCTGATTTAACAGTGCTATCTTCACAAGTTCATTTTTTTAAAGGTTCGCTTAATTGTGTTTATATTCCCCTCAAATACTATAAAGGGCTGCTTGTTTAAAAAGCCAAATGCTACTTGACATTACTGTTATAGCTCTTTGATAATTAAATATACAATCTGTCTGGTGCCATTGCTCCCATTTGCCTGCAGGTCCACTTTGCCACTTTCCCTTGCAGTCTGCATCACAGTAATTTCACTCTACTGAAAGTCAATCAATTGTGAATAGAACACTGCTGTACTGAATGCAAATTCCACGATACTAACTCTCTCCCGGATTTGCTTAAATTGATCTGAGTCTGAATCCCAGTTTACTTGTGAATGGATGGCTAATAGCTCCTTCCAGAAGTAATACGCCATACTTAGGTAACTGAATAATGTAGCTCCACAGATTAAGTTTTTGTTTCTAAGCATGCAAGAGAAACTGAGTAAAATGAAAATCCAGTGTTATAGCAAATATTTTTTTTAGAAAGGTAGGCTTCTGGCAGGGTATAAACCAGGGGTGGGCAAACTTTTTGGCCTGAGAGCCACATCGGGGTTGCAAAACTGTATGGAGGGCCGGGTAGGGAAGACTGTGCCTCCCCAAACACCCTGGCCCCTGCCCCCATCCGCCCCCTCCCACTTTCCACCCCCTGACAGCCCCCCTCAGAACCCGAGTCATCCAACCCACCCTGCTCCCTGACTGCCCCGACCCCTATCCACACCCTGCACCCTGACAGGCCCCCCAGGACTCCCACACCTATCCAACCGCCCCCTGCGTCCTGTCCCGACTGCCCCCCAGAACCCGCCCCCCCCCTTACCATGCCGCTCAGAGCACCAGGACCAGCAGCCGCGTAGCCCGGCTGGAGCCAGCCATGCCGCCGCACAGTCTAGAGCACCAGGACAGGACAGCGACTCTCACAGTCACACTGCCCAGCAAGAGCTCGCAGCCCTGAGTGCTGGTGGCACGGCAAGCTGAGGCTGCGGGGGAGGGGGCATAACAGGGGAGAGGCCGGGGATTAGGCTCCCCAGCCGGGAGCTCAAGGGCTGGGCAGGATAGGCCCACGGGCCGCAGTTTGCCCACCTCTGGTATAAACCATCATGCATATGGATGTAAGACAACCTATAGCTGTTGGGGGTTAGGAAAAATTTCCCTCTGGCCAGGATATCCATAACTGCCTACTAGTGCAGGATTTAGTGCAGGTACTGGCCCAAGCCAGACGCAGGATACTGGATGGATCACTACATGGGTCACTGATCTGATCCAATATGGCAATTCTTATGTTCATGTATATCTAGAAACAAGAGAAGAAAGTTCACATTGCATGATTGTGATTTACATAATCAAGCTGTACATGTTCTCTACCTATGTGATTTTTGTTCTCACGCTTCCTAAGTAATGATTGGTTTCACCACAGAAAAAGATTGCTGATATTTTTAAGTCTGGTTTAAGTCATTTTTAAGTCACTTTTTACAATATGACAATGTTGATCTCATTACTACTTTTCCTAATGACAGTGAATATATTACATAGCATGAAGGTCTCCGTCCATCAGTGTTATCAACAGACGCTGTAGGTGAGAAGATCTTATCTTCATGGTAGTTTCAGAAATTAGTTTTAGGTTAGCCTATATTGTGCAAATTAGCCAAGTTTCAAATAAGCGTCTGCCCACGCACCTCTCCCCTTCAGAAAGGATTTTCCTATATTCCAAACCATCTGTCTGATTATGAGACTTGCTGTCTGTTAGCAGTGCTTTACTAATAACAGCACAACACCCACACCAGCAGAGCCCAGACAGTGTCAGCTATTTGTCCAGAAGTGGAACATCTCCCTTCTCTCTACTGAGTAGCTGTTCCAAAACGTAATCCTACCTACTACAAGCAGACATCAGAAGAGATTTAAAGTACCACTGTTGTAATTCCTCACTTCTCTTGTAGTACAGGAAACTTGAGGCAACATTCCAATTCTTTTGAAGTACTCTTGCTCCAAAAATAGCAAAACCAGCTTTAAATAACGTGTCCAGCTACCTCCACACTCAATTTCTCCACATATCTTGTTCTGCAACTTTCTGGTTGTTTTCCAGTGTTGCTTCAGTGTGGGAATGCTGTTCTCACACTGCTGGATCCACTCCACTTGCTTGCTAGTCTTTTTTGCTTCCCATTCCACTCGTGTTTCAAAAGTGGAAGATGCAACAGAATGGGATGAAGAAAAGAAACAATTGTGCATATGGGGAATTATATTTCTTATTGGGAGAGACGGGGGAGAAGAGATCCAATTGCAGCATCAGGAGCTCTGGTGAGAGTTCAGAGTTTAGTGGGGGATCAGAAGAAAATTGCTTCTGATTATAAAATAAGTATAGGAAATAAGTAACATGATCTTGAAGTGATTTAGATCATCTAGTATGACCAAGCAAGCATAACTGAAACTCAAGGAGAGTATTCTCACTTAGAACGTTAATATGAATGGTTAAGTTCAGATGTATCCAAATATTAAGATCTTTGCATTAGAAGGCCGTGTAATTGCCATAAGCCATATGGACAGAGTAAAAAAATATACACTAAACGTATTTATAAATGTGAGTTGCAATTTGATCAAAACATCAGGACAAGTGAATAATGATAAAAACTAGGAGGAAAAAGCTGCAGATACCATTCGTTATACAGTACTACTAGAGAATAAAATCTGGACCAAAATCTAAGGAAATCAAAGCCACAGGATACTGTACTCCTGAAGGATTTTGACTACTCAGACAGCTGTTGAGCAATAATTGACAGTTAAGCATGAATCATCTAGAGATGTCTATGTTATAAGAAAGACAGGCTCATGAACCAGAAAGTGGAGAATCCAGAGCACCATTGTGAAACTATTTTTTCCAACCAGAAGGAAGCAACTGAGAACCCAGCAGCTAGTAGTCACTACCAATAAGTAAAAGCCCACCACTAAGAATAAGATTTGCAGACTTCCATATTATACATGAAATAAAATTAAAGAGGTAGAAACCATTAGGAAGATCTTATTAATACAGCCATTAATTTTAAAAAGTAGGTAAGAAAGTAATTGAAGGGAATAATACTGATGAACTGACTCCACCATAGCAATTATTTTTGAAGTCAAAGAAATAGGAATATTCCATAAGAATGGAAAAAAGCAAGCGGGTTTGAGGGTTTTGTTGGGGGTTGGAGGGTTAAGTTACACAATGCCTTACTGCTCAGTAAGTTTAACTGCAACCACTAATATAATGGAACCAAGAGTGAGACAAGAATCCATTAACACCTGAAGAATAATGAAGTCAGGAGCAATAAACAGCACCAGAATGTTTTTAATTTAATTTAAACTAGAACTTACAAAATTCAAAGGAGAGTAATAGGACAAAATGGCAGTAGGTGTCAGAGGAAACCCAAAACAGATCTCCCTTCATTGCATGAAAGAAATGAAAAGTTTAGGGATTCCCACTGCAAATGGAAGTTCAGCCATGCTAATTGGTATATCCCCTTCCATCGTAACACAGGGAGCATACTCCATGGCGACAGCATGGCTGAAGTTCTGCAGGATATCCTCACTGTCTCAGCATCTCCCAGCAAATCTCTAGAAAGTTTCCAACAGAAATTAATCCAGACTCCTACAGAATCCTGGTTGTATGGCATCTCAACATAGTATCCAGAGGACCAGAAGCTAGAGGCTGAGGAGAGGCTGTTGGGAGTACCATGGATGTTCCAGCTCTGTGCAAATGCTCTGGAATGCGTAGAATGTCTTAGGATACATCTAAGAGGGTATTACCCTGCGACCTCTTCAGGCTCTTTCACTTTTCTTCCTACCCATCCAAGGTTTCCACCTTGGAAACTTTACAGAGGTCGACTCTAGTTATTTTACTCAGAAGGGAATGGTCAGGCTGATCTAATAGCAGTTTTACCTTCTCAAATGTCTATTAAGCATCACAAAAAGTTTAATACTTACATAATCTCAAATCCACGGGGGATCATTTCTTTTTTTTTTTTTTTTTAAGTTTCCTGCAGACTTCCAGGTCTCCACATGGAATGCTGTAAAACAAGAGGACTACTCAGAAATCTTTACACTTTAAAAGCAGACTGCAATAAGTGTAAAATGCACCTTTAAAAATACAACCAACTACCACTATACACGAGAACACCTAAGGAATTTGCAATATATATATATTTTTACACAACTGAAATCTATGTGTTGTAATAGTAACATTTCTACAAACTATGCAGCCTTTCCATTAGTAAGCGATTAGAGCGATATTAGCCAGCACTAGCTCAGTTTCAGAGACAATTTGCATCAGGCTGCTACATTGTTATTTGTACCTAGAATATAAATAAGGTATCGGAAACAGCAACACTATTTTGTCTCAATGGAAGTTTCAGCGTACAGCCATTTCGCTAGACTGCGCGTTTATGACTTCTAGCGAGGTGCTTCGTTTCTTGCACTCAAGACAAGTTAGAGTGCGTTACTCTAGTATATGCACTAACCAGCAATTAGCAGTGAGTAAGGGGACATCCAGTCCCTAGGACAGGGGTGGGCAAACTACAGCCGGCGGGCTGTATCTGGCCCTTTGGACACTTTAATCTGGCCCTCGAGCTCCCACTGGGAAGCGGGGTCCGGGGCTTGCCCTGCTCCACATGTGCTGTGGCTCAGCGTGGCTCCCGGAAGCAGCGGCATGTCCCCCCTCCAGCTCCTGTGCATAGGGGCAGCCGGTAGGCTGCACACACTGCCCCTACCCCCAAGCGCCGCCCCTGCAGCTCCCATTGGCCAGGAACCACGGGTGGCGCCTGTGGACAGGGCAGCAAGCCGAGCTACCTGGCTGTGGAGGGGGAACATGCTGCTGCTTCTGGGAGCTGCTTGAGGTAAGCGCCGCCTGGAGCCTGCACCCCTGCCCCACTCCTGCACCCCAACCCCTTGCCCCAGCCCTGATCCACCTCCTGCCCTCCAAACCCCTTGGTCCCAGCCTGGAGCACCCTCCTGCACTCCCAACCCGTTATCCCCAGCCCCACCCCAGAGCCCGCACCCCCTCCCATACCCCAACCCCCAAGTTCGTGAGCATTCATGGCCCACCATACAATTGCCATACCCAGATGTGACCCCCGGGCCAAAAAGTTTGCCCACCCTTACCCTAGGAGAACCAAATAAATACCATTTTGCGTGTAGCTCTACTCTGAAAAGGGACCACCCCCAAAAAGAGCATTGTAAGGTTCCACGTTTATTGTGTCTCATGGACTTCCAGATAAAACCCAGGTAGGGTATGTCTAGACTAGAGCTGGAAAGTGTGAAATGCTGCTGAAGGCCAGATGCCAGCAATTTTAACATCTGTTAAAACAGTTAGCTCCAACCTTTCCCTAGTTATTTTTAATTCAGTTGTGTTGCACATTGCTCTGTTCAGACTCTATAGTAAGTACCCTGATGCTTGTATCAATCTCTAAATAGCTCCAAACAGCAAGGGATAGTTGGTTTCAGAACTACTCAAAGCTGGTATTTTAACAGAAGTTCTTACCATTGGTTTGCTAAACTTGTAAGGTTAGACTTACCACACCTCACAACGCTAACGTGTGGGATTCAAAATAAAGAAGTAGCTTGAGCTAGCAGTTAGGGAAGTCGTATCTACTCAAGTATATATTTTAAAAGGTCCTCCAGAAGATCAGAGTTTTTGTGGTGAGGGCCAAAGTACACTTTAATTAGGTCCCTGGGTCATGGCTACAAAGTTATGGTGGCCATGTGCTATTGTCAGTTCATAGCGTCTTCCTCACTGGTGTCAACAGAAATTTTACACCAAAGCAATTTAGAAGGTGGCTCTTAACTTTTTAGTGGTTTAATACTCTGTGGGAAAAAAAGATTATGCAAAAAGCCATCAAGAGCACCATATCTTCCCTCACTTTTCCTCCCCTTCTGCTGGATATCATGCAGTGGTTTTAAGACTTTTTGGCATCTCCTTCTGGCTTCCTATACTTCCCCATTTTGGTGCTTTGGAACTCTTGATCTCTGCAAGAAAGGCATCATTTTAATACGGAAAGGCTGCAGAAGCAGAATAACTAGTGTTCTAGTCACTTTCCTTCCAGGTGCAAGAGCTTCTGCAGTTGAGGAGGAAACAGTTATCTTTGTGAGGAAAACAACAGTAGTATGATCATACTCTTTTTGCCCTCTTCAGCAGGCTTTATATACGAACAGATAGAGGTGGATAGAAATGGACTTGGGCCACGTTTCCACTTGGAAGGCTTTGCCAGTACAGATATACCAGCAAAGCACTCCTACTGTGGACAAAGCTTATACATGCAAAAGTGCATTTTTGTCAGCATAGCTTATCCAGCCCCAGTCCTCCTCTCTCCTTCCACCAAGTGAAATAAGCTAAACTGGCAGTATAATGCATCTATACTAGGGGCTTTTGCTAGCCAAGCTATAATGGTTGGGGATCACACATCTTCACATCCCTGCCGGACATAGCTAGGCCTAAAAAAATGTGTTGTGTACAACTGGCCTTAGTCCCATCCACGGCAGAAGTAGATATGTGTGAAATATTTCACAAGGAAGCCTAGAAAAAGGAAAGGTTTTCCAGGTTTTGTGGTAATTGAGGAGCTCTAATCAGGAATGTTGAGGTTCAAGAATCTTTCAGTGAACCAGAGAAATGTTATGAACATGAGTGAAACCACTGAAGTTCTGGTTTTGCACAAATTCAAGACAAACAAAATGAAGCAAAATTCTAGTGTCAGATGAATTTTGCTTTGAGTTTTGGGTCCAAACCCAGGGGATGTGAACCCAGATGAATCAAAACTGGAAAAAGTTTGCACAAACTTCTGCAAACAGAAATATTTTATTTTGGGGTGTGGGATTAATACACACACCCTGTGCATGAGGCCTATTAAAACAGAAAAGTGATTAGGATAACACAAACCTCCCTAGTTTGTCTTTGCAGCCAGCTCTGTATGGAAGTGACTGAGTACACTTTTGGCTGCTGCTGCTCGTGGGCGAAATTATAGCGTAATCAAGTGATGGAAGAGCTGATGAACACATTGCTCAATCAGCAGGCGAGTTAGAATTCTGAAGCCTACAAACTGTTCGGCTCCCCCGAGGTGAAGCTCTCTCTCAAGGGAATCCTCAATTTAAGTAAGAAAAGTCAGTTTAAAGTTGAGCTAGACAGGGAAATGAAGTGTAGAATCAGAGGACAAAACCCCCACCTTTGAAATGTCACCCTATATTTCTAGAAGCCAGTTTACAGCAAGTCCAGAAACTCACTATGACTGCAGCTCATGGTTTGGGGCCAATTAGCTGTGCCAAGAATCAGAATTTCAGACGCTTCGTCGTAGCATGACCTGCGACCGTCTTCCAACATCCAAAGCTACCCTGCAGCAAGTCCCATAATAGCTGGGAAGTAGTTAAGAATTTGTTAAATGATCATGTCTAGACATTGTGTTAGCAAAAGACGTAGTCTAGGAATGTACCATTAAAGAAAGTTCTTTCCTTCCATACACTCCGCACAGAAGACACCTGTTCTGCTACGTTCTTTATCCAAATGCATACTATGAAAGGGAAAGAGCAACAGTATAAAATGTCAAACGTTTCCAAACTGCAATAAATACAGTCTAAAAAAATTACAAGTAGGTGTTTCAGCCCATCATGCTGTGTTAATTTTAGAACAAGGCTAACTGAAGAAAACAGACTGAAGAACAAAGTGAAAGATGATAGGGGAAGACATATCTAAAAGATTGGAGTAAAAACACGGAGACATTCTATACCCTGGGGGAACACCCTGTACCCCCACCCCCATATTTCTCATCTGTATATAATTATGATATTACATATAAAGCATGCCTTATAAGGTAACAGGGGAAAGATTAGGATCTGCTGAAAGTCATTTCTCTATCCATATATGTATATCATTAATGCATAGGAAGTTATGAGAATTGTGTTGTATGGTTGTCACTAAAACATGCTGTAAGTTGGGGAATCAGCCAGCTATTATCTCCCCAGAGGCAACAGCAAGGAAAGTAACCAACGCCCGCCCGGGCAGGGTGTCAAACAACCCCTCGACAACCATTGTCCAGCACGAGAGCTACAATTCAATGACTCATCTGCATGAGACCACACCAGGGGAATTGCTCGACCTTGCCTGGAGACTCAGCAATGCCCCCCAGACATGCCTGGACTTGTGCTCCCCAAGCATATGGGACTGAGGATATAAAACAGAACACAGTGGCCACATGCTGGGCCTTTCTCCTTCACCCACCTACGCTGCAAGTAACAAGGACACTCTGAAGACTCCAACTGAGGGGACTGGCCCAGATTTCAAGGATGAAATCTGTGTACTATGAACTGCAATATCCAGTGGTCAGAAAAACAACTTAGTCTAGTTGTTGCCCAGTCTAATAGGGTAGAGAGTTTTTTGCCTATCACTTAGGGCTTGGCTACACTTGCGAGTTACAGCACAATAAAGGACCCCGGGCACACTAGCTCACTACCCGTCCACACTGGCAAGGCACGTAGAGCGCTCCGAGTCCGCAGCTACAGCGCTGCTGGTACTCCACCTCGGCGAGTGGAATAACGTTTGCTGTGCCCTCGCTGGAGCACCGCGGCGCCAGTGTGAACGAGGTGTTACATTACTGCGCTCTGACCAGCCTCCGGAAAGGTCCCATAATCCCCTTAAGTCAAGTGGCCACTCTTGTCATTATTTGGAATCAGCTGTAGGAATGCGGAAATGCCCTTTGAAAGCTCCGTTTCTGACAACTGGCTGCTTATCTGCTCCGAGACAAAGCAAGCCATTAGTGTAGAATGCTGTGTGTGGGAGAGAGGCGAAGGGGGGTAACGGGGGTCTGCTGCTGTCTGAACTTACAAGACAGCATGCTGACATGCTCTCAGTCCCCCAAAAACCCACTCTCTCCCCCCCCACATACACACAACACTGGAGAGAAAGAGAGTCACACTCCACCCCACCCTCCCATTTGGAAAGCACGTTGCAGCCACTTGCATGCTAGGATAGCTGCCCATAATGCACCGCTCCCAATGCTGCTGCAAGTGCCGCAAATGTGGCCACGCC